AACAAGTTACAATTCGCATTGCGTGTACATTTTACAACCACTAACCTCCGCTTTTTGGGGGTTTTATTATAGGAAAGGTGAAGAGGGGGGAGAGAAAGAGGGCATAACATGCAGCAAAGGGCTGAAGGGTGGAATCAAACCTGGACATTAAAATAATTTCTAATATTTAATAGTTTATTTTCGTTGAATAATAAAAAAAAGTGCATTTAGCAATATATTAACTATTATATTACTACTTAATACTACTATATTAACAATTAAATTGCATCAATTATTAAATAAAAAATTATAAATAAGGTCTAATGATTATTAGATACATAAGTTCTGATCAGTAAAGAAGAGGTGTGGTTTTAAATATTGATACCAATTTAAAGACTGTGTGGGCTGAAAGAAGAGTACATTGAATGTAGAAAATATTAGAGATAATAACATTATAGGCCTACTACTGTCTTATTATTATTTGTATAATTATTGTGATTAGATTTAATGCATTACTGCTTTATTGGTTCAATCTTAACTCTGATTCAAAAGGCGATAGAGACTAGCTACAGATATATACAGTATGGTGAACTGATTTAACTGAAGTGTTAAAGATGTCTGTAGTCTATAGTTGATGTAATCATATGTTTTAAAGCTTGAACATATCTCATACATAATGTGAACTATGTTCTGGGGCTAGGGACCCTCACTAGGGGCTAGGGGGGCCTATATATCAGCTATATATATTGTAAAAAATGATCAAAAGTACATAACACAAACTTGAATTGTATAAAATGTTACCTAAACAAGAAATTATCTGCTCAAAATTCATCCAGACCACTCTCTTTACACAAACTTCTTACAGTTACTGAGTTTATAATTTGAGTTTAGTGTACAGTTTTGATTATAACATGAAATATCCATTAAAACAAGTCACTTAGTCAGGGCTCATCAGTTTACTAAATGATAGAGAAGCGGTCCCTGAAAGAAGAAGGCTGGGAACCACTGGACTAAAGCGTTGCTGTTCAATGAAAGGTAGCTCACCTGTCTGGGAGCTGTGGCAGTCCACCGCAGCACCTTTGACCTTCCGTCTGACCGCCACTCGTCTGAACTCCTCCGTGTCGCGGCTGTTCAGAGTCAAACTGTTCCTCTTCTTCAAGTCAAACATGGTTACACAGTTCCAGCCTCAGTTCCAGCCTCCTATCCGGTTGTTTGACAAGGAATCAGAACAGGACAAAAAATTATATAATAATATTTAAATTAAGACATTTAATTATTAAATGATGCCATTACTATTGAGATTATTTTGTATTTTATTCTAATTGAAATATGTGTATATATGTTGTATGTGTAGCATGAAATGGCTACATCTTACAAGTCATTGTATAAGCCTATGTTGAAAAATGACAGTTAATAATCAATCAATAAATATTGGTAGTTAAATGCAAAGTAAATACGTCAATGTCTTTAAATT